TAATGTTGAATAGTGTTACTATACGTCATAAGATGAATGAAAAATGTTGTTACTTTGATACACAAAAGTGATACATAATGTTGGATAAAGTGTTACTATATGATTGAAAAATGTTACCAAAGATATTAAGTGTTACATAAGAAATAAAAGGTAACACTTTAGAAATGATACTAACAACATAAAAATGTGTTACGTAAGAGGGTTTATAGTAACACTTTGAAAAGTGTTACCATATGTTACCTAAAGTGTTACATAAGCCCTTAGGTAACACGGGCGGATGTATCACCCACTAAAGTGTTACCTATTATCTATACTAACACTTTTACCACTTTAAGTAACACTTTTTAGGTGTTACTTGAGGTTAGTTCTGCACTAGTGTTAGGAACATCCTTCTCTTTTCAACTAGGTCGACCTTCACCATTAATGTGTCTTTTGTAGCCCGAACCGTCACACCCCTAGTCGAGCTCTCCCCCCCCCCCCCCCTTTCACCTTTCTTAGAATTCTTCGATTGCTTCTCTCTATAAACCATCTTTTCCTTACCCTTTCCTTTAGCATAATTCTTCTTTTTAGGCATTATAGGAGTCTTAAACTCAATTCCTTGTGTTCTCGGACCTAGACGATCTTTAGGAGGCGCCTTCTTACTTAAAAGACGTCCCTTCACATAAAAGTTGCGTGATCCAACTGGATCCCTTCTACTTCTAGGATTCAACCATGCCTTCTATGCATTAGATAAGGGAGCAGGAGCTTGGTTAGTCGCAGAAACGGTCCACAAAGGTCTTCCAATCCAATAAGCCTCGTACTTGTGAACGTTACTTTCATGCAACAATACTTCACGAGGACTATCGTTATAGCGTGGAACTACTTGTTCAATTCCATATTGTCGCATCAATCGAGAAGGACAATAAAAAGTCAGCTTTGAAATACTAGGAATGCGACAATACGGAGTATCATTTGTGCCAACCATCCTACTAAGCCTTCACAAAGGCACCACCCACTGATTGGAAAATTCTCTCTTGGCAAAGAAAATCTTCCAATCATCATATGACATGTTCGCAGAGTAATTCTTCTTCCTGTGGACTAGATCGTTGGGACCAAATTTTTCAATATTGTCGGGCGCTTCAAAACTTTCTAAACGCTCCATCAACCAAATCTGCAAAATAAAATAAAATCAGTTAAAAAAAATTGTAGAAAACCACCGTGACACGGCAGAATGCACCATGTCACGGCAGACATGCACCGTGATACGGTGCCTGTTTTGTGTCACGGGGGATAATCAGAGCGTATTTTTACCTGCAACAGTACTAGAGAGCCCATCCTAACGGCTTTCCGATCAGCTTTTGCTTCGTCATGGCCGCGCAAAGTTTTTCCAAGGCAAGTAGGCATAGGAGATCTCAAAGATTCAACATGTTCAAACACAGAAGCTGAACAAGCATGTCCTACTCTAATATTGGCAAATAAAAGCTTGCTAACACATGCAAAAAATATAAGCCCTTCTATGGTATACATGATAAGACTCAGAGATAGGGCGATTGAAATACAAATTCGCAAGCTTTTCTAAATCTATTTCATTACCACAAACAATTTTATTTAAATCGGGATCTGTCAGATTCAGATGGCGTTCAAAGTCTTGGTAATAATACTCACGTAGGGTAGGCATAGAAATGAGATTTCTGGCAAGATCACCAAGATGGCACCGAATTCCTCCGGCAAGGGACATATTTCATCATAATCAAATTTACAAGAATGTGTTTCTAGAATCCAATAGTCTAAAGCTGCCCTAAGAAAATCTTGTTCAATTACTACATGCCTCAAGGCTAATAAGTCTCTGACATAAAACAATTCAAACTCTCTTTTGTCAGCATTTGTCAAAGAATAAGACCAGTCGTGCAATGCATTATCTAAATTCTAAGACATTATTATCGAAATATGAAATTCTAATTATTTTATATTTCGTAATAATGCATATCACGAATAAACTGGTCCTATTTTATATCCAAAACGCTTGGAAATACTCAAAATCTATCTTTCTATGCACGCAAACTACAACCGCTACAGAATAAGCGCACCGCGACACAGGAAATTTCACCATGTCACGGGAAATAGTGTCGCGACACGGCAGACGTTGTCGTGACACGGAGCACACTGTCGTGTTGCGGTGCCCATGCGTTTTCTTTTTTTATCTCCTTTACCTATTTTTATCCGGATTTTTATTGTTTTGTCTTCACAATTTATCTTCCAATTATGTTTTTCGAGAGTTTCATTCCTAATAAAATTCTCCATTTATTTAAATTTTTATTTTTTATTTTTTTATTTTAATTTTTTTTATCTTTATTATTTATTATTATTTTATTTTATTCTTTATTATCACTTTATTCTTATTTCTATTTTTATTTTTAATTTTTATTTTTATTTTCCTTTTTCTTTTGGGGAAGTTGTAAAACTTGTCCCATTTTCATGTTTATTTTTATTTTTCTATTTTATTTTGGAGGAGTTGTAAAACTTGTCCCATTTTCTTTTTTTATTTCTTTTTTCTTTTGGGGAAGGTCGGTACCCTCCACTTACGATTTTTTTCGTGTCATTAATAAATACACAATCACACACAATGAGTCTCAAGCACACACTAATACACACTAATAAATGCATAAACTGTGAATAATGTACAAAGTGAATCATGATGCATAAACAGTGTCAAGTGTCATCAACCAAAGTACAAAATAAAAACCCTCGGTAAAAAATCTGTAGAACTAGAAGAGTGAGGATCAGTGTCATCTCCAGCCTGTGAATACGGGAACGGTGAACCAAAGAGTCCCTCCATCATCTGGGTATGAGAAGTAGTATCCTTACTAGTACATGTAGCTCCAGTAGTAGACAAACTCAAAGAAGGACCCGTTCAACTAGCAAACGACATAGACTGACTCCTAGAGGTAGGAATCGTCGATGGAGGCATCGTCCGAGACACTGGAATTGAAAATAAGTCGGGCACCGGTGGAGGAAGCGCCCCAGACAATGGAACTAAGTATAAACCCTGGTCCATAGGAGTAATGACTGGCCTGAACTCAGGTTGTGAAGGCTAGGATGATGAAGGCCGCTGCCACTGACCCTGAAAAATGCTGGAATGGAAGAGAAGGTTGAGGCTGCTGCCACATAGCTTTCTGAAATGGCTAAGAAGACTAAGACTACCGTTGAGACTGAGAATCCCGACGAACGTCAAGAGATCGTCTGTCTCGACTAGGTTCCCCCTCGTTCGAGCCTCTGTGCCTTGAGCGCGAGCGAGATCTTAGTTGCTCCTGAAAAACACAAAATGAAAAATGTCAATGGTGCAAGGTAGAACAAATGGTAAATATGGGGTAAAGGGTGAATATACCTCGAGAACATCGCCAGAACCGCCCCGACAACTTGCGCCACGTCGAATCTTGAAGATGAAATCCTTCAAAGTGTCAACCAGATTCATGAATCCCATCATAGTCGAGTGCGTAGGCTGAGAACAAAGCAAAGAAAAATTAGTAAAAAGCGGTATTGAAAAGGATGAATAGTGTGTTAAAAAGCTTACCGGGTCAAACACATCAGGCAAAGATTCATGTGCCTATTTGAAACCCTCTGGCGCATCAGCAATATGATCCTCGTAATACTGATCGGCCCCAGGTAACGGACAGATTGAGGCAGGACCTCAATCTTCCCCATACTGCGAACGGTCGTCTGAAAATACGATCGAATAATCAGGTTATTCGACGGTTTAAATAGAGACTAGCGACAAAATTCATGATATAAATCAAACCTCGGGAAGACAAGGTGGAGGAGCCAAAGAGGGAAGCAAGTCTTGCGAATAATCGCCCTCCATACGCACAAGCTCCTGCCAAGGAAAAGTGTAGCGCTCTCCCCTGTTTATCAACCCCCTAAGAAAACGTGAGTCCAGCATCGACTTTAGTGGAGGCAAGGGCACCACAAAAAGATCAGCACTGTGCTGACAAACAACGCGCTCCCTAAGATACCATGCAAAGCGTCCAGTACTGTTGGGCCCGTATTATCACACGACCCATTGTACTTAGGGCCCCAATCCAAGGCCAATAAATCAACAAGAATACGCAAAACGGCTTGATTGAAATAAACAAGGAAAGCATCATCAAGCATATCAATCAAGGAGATACTTGCCAAAGATACACCTACAGAGCAGGAAACAAGATAAATCAAGAAGATCTTATACATTTAAAAGATATTCTGAATATATTTGTAAACCCTAGAGATCCCTAGGTATAAATAAGAAGAATTAGACATTTTAACACTCATGTACGTTCGCATATACTTAAATATAAACAATTTGCTCTACTTTTATCTACGGAATTGCGTCCCTATTGAACAAGGAGGCCTATCCTTACTCAGTATTGTATCTCTAAACTCATCTTCTTTATATTATTGAATATTTACTGCTTACTTATTGATTTCTTATTGATTTATTATCATTCTTAGTTATTTTATATGCTGTTGGTAGAAATGATTGTTATTACCCCTCAAACCTAGCAAATTCTTAGATACCCTTATTGAGATTTTCCTAAACAATTTGGCGCCCACCGTGGGCTGATAATCAATTAACCTACCAATTCGCCGAAAAACCAAGACAAACACTATGACTGGGCAACCATACCCTTTACTATTGCCGAAATTAATGAAGGAATGAACGCATTCCGCCAAACTTTAGACCAGCAGAAAAAGCCAAATTGAAACGTTGCTGGCTCAAAAGGTCCAAACTGAAGCCAAACTCACCAGCCTTACCAAACAAAATGAAGCCCTTCGCAGCCAAATACAATCAGTTGCATCTAAAACCGTTAACACCAGAAAGAGCACTGAAAGTATAGCCATGCAGCTCGACATGTACGGAACCTTTCACACCCCTAACGGGAAAAAGGATCTAACAACAGGAAGCAACCCTGGATCTAGACTTTTTGGATGCAGGAACCACCAAGAAGGATAGTCAGGAAGGAGCCGAAGAGGGGAAAGTAGAAAAGATGGTCAAGGAATACCTCAAGACAATCGAGGCCAAAATCGCCGAAATTCCTGGAATGCCGAAACCCATGGAAGAAGAGGCAGCAGATGGCTATATAGAATCCCCATTCTCAAAAGAGATCGCCATGGTAGAGGTGCCAAAGAGGTTCAGCACGCCCAATATGACCATGTATGATGGAACAACGGACCCTGATGAGCATGTATCCCTTTACAAGAAGAAGATGATAACAAGCTCAATCCCTAGAGACATCAGAGAGGCTATCATGTGCAAAGGCTTTGGAGCCACGCTATCAGGTCCAGCTCTAACTTGGTTCATTAATTTAGATAATGGGAACAATTCGATCTTTTGCAGGAATGGTGAACCTATTTAAGGTCCAGTTTGCTAGCAGCAGAAAAATCGAAAAGCAGTCTTCAGATCTGTACCGCGTTGTGCAGAGACATGGTGAATCCTTGAGAGATTATCTTAACAGGTTCAACAGGGAGAATATTGGAATATATAAGTGTGATGCTCCCACAACAATCGAAGCATTCAGAAGAGGATTGCTAGACCATAGTGAGCTCTATAAGGAGTTGACCAAATATCCCTGTACACCTTTGAAGATGTGCAAGCCAAAGCTATGGCTCAAGTCAGATTTGAGGAAGATGCGTACGCAAGAAAAGACTCCCAATCCAGATCGCCAGTCAAGAAGGAACAACAATTTTCCTATAAGGGATCACCGATTCAAGCCGTATCAGCGTTCCCGCTTTGATGAGGGATCAGTCAATGCTGTCGAAGAAGAATTTTCTGATCGGAGGGAAGATCCTAAAGTCCCACCTAAGTTACATGAGTATTGCTTCAATTAACCCTGCAGGAGTAATTAGGACCCTAAATAAGATGGGAGATACTATGAAAATGGCCCAGGAAGAGTGACAGGCCTAGAGAGAAGAAAGATCCGTCCAGATGGTGTGATTTCCATTCGGATATCGGTCACACTACTGATGAATGTGTCGCGCTCAGAAAGGAAGTTGCATACCTGCTAAAAAAAGGGCTACCTCAAAGAACTCCTGTCAGATAAATCTAAAGCTTCAGGGAGGGAAAGAGAATCTAAGCAAGGAGGTCCTCCACCTCCGCCTCCAATTATCAAAACCATCTGTTTCATATCAGGGGGATCAGAAGTATGTGGTTTAACGTATTCTGCAGCAAAGCGACATGCAAAGGAGAGTAATAAGGATCAATCTGACAAGAGGAAGAAATCCAAGATAGACATTCCCATCATGTTTGAAGAAAGCGATGTAGTAGAAGGCCATCATGACGGCCTAGTGATTTCACTCCCAGTTGGAAACTGCATGATCAAGCGTATCCTAGTGGACAATGGAAGCTCTACAAACATCATCATGCTTGACACTCTGAAACATATGAACATAGACGAAAAGAACATCGTCAAAAAGTCAACAATGTTAGTGGGATTCAGTAGGGAAACCAAGAAGATAAGTGGAGAGATTACATTGGCCACGTACGGAAAAGGAATCAACCTACAGGTCAAGTTCTTAGTGGTTGACACTCTATCTTCGTACAATATGATCTTAGGCAGACCCTGGATACATGAGATGAAGGCCATCCCCTCTACATACCACCAAGTCATTAAGTTTCCTACTAGGTGGGTATTCAAGAAATCAGTGGAGATCCTAGGAAGCTAAGGAATGTTACAAGATCGCACTAAAAGCAACATCTGCAGAAAAGAGTTCAGCATAGCAATCAAAGGGTCAGCTGGGCCAAGAAAAGTTAAGCATAGCAGAGGAACAAGAAGCTACAGAAGTCCAGTTGAACCCCAAAACATCCAGACCAAAAAGGTCAGAATAGGATCAGAATTGAAGTCAGAACTCAGACAACAAATATATGACTTTTTAGAAGAGGAAAAAGATGTATTCGCTTGGACCCATGAAGACATGAAAGGCATCTCTCCAAACGTAATTACTCACAAGCTGAATGTAGATTCCACTACATACACCAGTAAAGCAGAAGAGAAGGAAATTTGCGCCAGAAAGGAACAAGATTATTAATGAGGAAATCCAGAACCTATTGAAGACTGGAAAGATCAGAGAAGTTAAAGTACCCAGAATGGCTTGCTAATGTAGTAGTAGTCAGGAAGAAGAACGGAAAATGGCGCATCTGTATAGACCTCACAGATATCAACAAGGCATGCCAAAAGATTTGTTCCCTCTACCTCATATTGATGCCATGGTAGACGCCACAGCAGGCATGAGTTACTATCCTTCATGGACACGTACAGTGGTTACAATCAAATCCTCATGCACAAGGATGACCATGAGAAAACCGCTTTCATTACTAGTCAAGGAATATACTGCTACAAAGTAATGCCTTTTTGGATTGAAGAATGCAGGAAGCAACATATCAAAGGTTGGTGAACAAGATGTTTGAAGAGCAAATAGGGAACACAATAGAGGTCTACATAGACCACATGGTAGTAAAGTCCAAAAAGGCAAAAGATCACGTCAGAGACCTTAGAGAAGCATTTGCCATCCTGAAGCAGTACGGCATGAAGTTGAACCCCACAAAAATGCACATTTGGAGTACAGTCAGGAAAGTTCCTGGGATACATGGTTACGCAAAGAGGAATAGAAGCCAGCCCAGACCAAGTCAAAAGCCATCCTAGACCTAGAGCGACCAAAGTCGAAGAAGGAAGTACAGAGCTTAACAGGGAAAATCGCAGCATTGAACAGGTTCATTTAAAAATCTTCGGACAAGAACAGAGCCTTTTACGAAGTATTGAAGAAGAATAAGGAATTCAAATGGGAGCAGGGAGCACGACGAAGCATTTCAGAAGCTGAAAGAATACTTGGCCAACCCATTGATTCTCTCTAAGCCTAAGGAAGGAGAGCCACTCCAGTTATACCTCGCAGTGTCTGAAGGACGATCAGTGCAGTCCTCACAAGAGAAGAAGACAAGGAGCAATTCCCAATCTACTACGTAAGCAAAACCCTACTTAGTGCGGAAACAAGGTATGTGTCATTAGAGAAGATCATTTTAGCCTTAGTTACTACTTCAGTGAAGTTACGCCCATACTTTGAAAGCCACTCCATACGAGTACGCACCAACTACCCCATCAAAGCTATCATGAGAAAGCCAGAAATGTCAGGAAGGATGGAGAAATGGGCCTTACATCTGAGCAGGTACGATATACAGTACGAGCCCAAGACAACAATCAAATCACAAGCCTTGGCAGACTTCGTAGCAGACTTCAGCCCAACTCTTGAGGAAGAAGCACAAAAAGAAGTATTGGCACTACAAGAACCGAAAGCTACACAAAAGTGGATACTCCACACAGATGGCACAACAAACACACGCGGAGTAGGCCTAGGAATAGTACTAACATCACCCCAAGGAGACAAGATAGCACAAGTAATAAGGTGCAACTTCAAAGCCGCCAATAATGAAGCTGAATACGAAGCGCTGATCACAGGATTAACCGTTGCAAAGGACATGAAGATACAACATCTAGAGGTAATTTCAGAATCCTTACTCATGGTAAATCAAGTCAATGGAGAATATGCAGCAAAGGATGCAAGGATGGTAGCCTACTTGGAAGTCACAAAGAAGCTCATTAAAGAGTTCAAGGAATTCAAGATAGATCAAGTACCCAGAAACTTGAACACTGAAGCAGATGCACTGGCAAACTTGGGATAAAACATCAACCCAGAAGAATTTGGAGCTATCCCCCTAGTGCACGTACTCTCTCCAGCCATAGAGAAAGAATCGACTGTGAGCGTCTACAAAGTTCAAGAAAACCCTACAGAGAAAGAAGGCAGCAGCTGGACAACACCACTGAAAGAATACCTCTTGGACATGACGAAACCAACAGGGAAAGTAGCAGCTCAAGCACTTGCTCAAAAAGCCTCCAAGTATTGCCTAATCAGCAATGTACTCTTTAAGAAATCTGTAGCAGGCCCCTTCTTACGATGCCTAGAAGTAAAGGAAGCACAGCAAGTCTTACAGTCTTTACATAGTGGAGAGTGTGGAAATCATTCTGGAGGAAAGATTTAGCCAACAGAGCACTTAGAATGAGATACTACTGGCCTAACATGAGAAAGGATGCAGCAGAATTCGCCAAGAGGTGCCTAGCATGCCAGAAGCACGCACCCTTGACGCACAGGCCATCAGAAGAGCTACATCCAACACTGACACCTTGGCCATTCATGAAGTGGGGAATGATACAGTAAAACTTCCTCCCTCATCAGGAAAAAGAGTATACTTCTTAGCAATGACAGAATACTTTTCATAATGGATCGAAGCAGAAGCATACAAGGAAATAAAGGATAAGCACGTCATATCGTTTATAAAAAGAAACATCCTAAGTAGATTCGGGGTACCAGCAGATATCATTATAGACAATGGATCCCAGTTCATCAGCAAAAGACTACAAAGTTCTATAAGGAATGGAACATCTCCCTCATCACGTCTACACCTAGGTACCCACAAGCAAATGGACAGGCAGAGTCAAGCAATAAAGTCCTCAAAGGTAACATGAAGAAAAGGTTGGAAGGAGCAAAAAGGAAATGGGCACGAACTACCCAACATACTATGGGCAGACAGAACAACCCCAAAAGGCACTATAGGCCACACCCCATTCTCGTTGGTGTACGGATGTGAAGCAGTGATCCCAACAGAGGTAGAGGTTCCCACAGCAAGATACGGGTTAATGACAGAAGAAAGGAATCAAGCAGAATTAATTCATAACCTAGACACGGTGGAAGAACTTAGAGAAGACGCAAAAATGAGAATGACAGCATATGAGCAAGAAGTAGCAAGATCCTTCAACAAGAATGTCAGAACAAAAGTCTTCAAGTTGGGAGATTGGGTTCTCAAAAAGGTATACGAAAATACCAGGGAAGCAAACGCAGGGAAATTAGCACCCAACTGGGAA